AAGTTTGACCAAATGACGAAGGCCCTTGAAATTGATTTGGTTAAGAAAAACATTATGGAAAATATTAATATCAGATTATATTTCCTATATTATCTTTAAAACTCTTATCCTTAATTAAAAGGATAAATCAACATTGATTTGCTCTTATCTTTGTTAATCATAAGAATTCAAATTATATATAAATCTCTAGTTTGTGATTTCCAAATCAATGTCTTGATCAGAAATTCTTTTTGAAGGATTATCCTTACAATCTGAACTTCATGATTCCCAAATATAAGGTCAACATATCATATTCGAAAAATAACTCACAATCTTTCAAATGGATTTAAAATATCTCTCGATTTCCAAATCTATTTTATCCTACCAAACAGTTACACTTTTGTTAAGACGTTTGTATATAGATGGAAATAAAGCCTGATTACAAAAATATAGATTTCAAACGTTCATGGGCCAAAAATGCAGTCTGGCAAAGATAGGAATCTATTCCAAATCAACTGTGGCGTGTCCAACAAACATTCAACATCCAATATCGGCCCATATTGGGCTTAGGCCCAGTTTTTGCTCTTTGACCAACAAGGCAACAACACTTTTACTTTATCGATGTTGTGCACCTCTACTTTTAACATTTTGAGCTTTTAGGGTCATTGACAGATTGACTCATTGTTTATTTGTTATTTTTTTTAATAAAATGAGATTATATTAAAAAAACTTTAAATGAGTAAAAAATGTATTTTATTTTGTCATAAATTATTATTAAAATAATTATATTTATGAACACAAAGTACTTATCTTCTTGTTTTACCAGATGCTATTAAAATAATGATATTTTATAAACACAAAGCTTCAATTGATTGTGTAACGTCTTGTTTGTACTTTTGTAATTTATGAACTTTTGTGTTGAAAAAATTGTTGCTTACAAGTTACAATAATGTTAAATGAAATATGTAATATTTCATTTTTATACTTTAATCTTATGTTTTGAATATGTCAAATGTTATTTTTGTTAATAATATTATTCTTTGAAATGTGTAGGTCAAGGTAACTTCTTGTTACTATGTAATATATGGTGGTTTGGGCTCCTAAGGTTATATGGGCTAAAGGATTCAATGGTTGTGGGATCATGTGTTGGATTGGATGAATATTGAAGAGTAAAGTGTACAGACTACAGAGGGACCAGTTGTGTCAATATGGAATACTTGAAGGGGTGCAACTTGTTTCTTCCCATCTTGAAAGGAAAGCGCGGAGCATATTTGTAATTTGTTTGTACTTGATATATGTTTTTTATTTTTCTGTAGAATTCATCGATTTTTTTGTTGCATGTAGGAAATATTTGAAGTTTTTAGAAAATCAAGATACATTTTTTTTGGAAACGGCCAAATCCCTTGTCCTAATAAATAAGTAGAATAACGTCACGTGTCATTCTCCCAGCCCCCCAAAAGATAGTTTTCCCGCTTCTTTTTTTCAACTCTAATTACGAAAATGCCATTCAGTTAAATTAGGGAAAATAAATCCGGAAAAAACTAATATCAAAAAATGCAATCAAATAATTAAAAAGAATAAAAGATTTGCAAATAATATGAAAATATCGGTTATTCAAGTTTCAAATTTCAAATACCCCATTTAATATGGAAGTTTGTTTATTGTGATTGGAAATTAAATAATTTTCAGTGATTAAATCCCAAAAAATCTGCACCAAATTATGAAATACTAAATATATACAATTACATACAATGTATACGCTTCTTTTGTTTTCAGTATTCTGCTTCAGAGAATTATTTGCAAACGGTATTTTCTTCGGTTCTTCTTCTCGGTTCTTCTTCATTGTTTTTATTGTAATTTATTCAATCATTTACCTTGCTAACATAAGTTCTTCAATCCTTCCTGTCGGTATCAGCTTTACTGCATAATCATCCTCTGCCCTCTTAATCCTGCAACGCTTCCATAAACACATATCAGGTTCGTGATCTGATTTCTCAGTATTTGTCATGTTTTCAGAATATGACCGATCTTCTTCTTCATCTTTTCCTTATTCTTCTTCCTCATCTACTTTTTCTACCTGTTCAGTTAAAAACACCATTTACCAAAACATAATTTATTGATGATGTTCTTGACAAACCTTCTGTTGCGGCTTTTCATCTTCCTAATCAACAACAGATTTCCTTCTGTTGTCAGACTACCTTTTCATCTTCCTAATCAACAACAGATTGTATATGGCGAAGACGATGATATTGATGATGTTCTTGACAAACCTTCTGTTGCGGCTTCAAAGTTCACATCTTGGATGGAGTGTAATGTAATCGACAGTGAAGCACGAAAACTTATATATGTTGAATTTCCTACAAAGTTTGTTTGGATATTAAATGGTCGGTTTTGGAAGCGAAGGAAAGTAGGAAAAACCATCGGTAGAATTCATTCGGTTTCACCTAAACTAGGTGAAGCATATTTCTTGAGGATTCTTTTAAATAAAGTAAAAGGTCCAACATCATTTAAAGAAATTTGCATGGTAAATGGTGAAACACATTCTTCTTTCAGAGATGCTTGTTATGCACTCGGGCTATTAGATGATGAGAAGGAATACATTGATGCAATTAAAGAAGCAAGTCATTCTGGATCTGGTTTTTATCTACGTTTCTTATTTGCTACATTGTTGATGTGTAATAGTATGTCTAAACCAGAGGTCGTTTGGGAAAATACATGGGAATATTTGGCAGATGGAATTCTATATAACCAACGACAGAGATTTAAGTCTGCAGGTATTACATTTTTTCTTATTTTTTATTTAAATTGGTTTTTTTATTATTCAACACCCATAAAATAATTAGTAATTAAATTATTACATATTGACCACATATTTTATAAATTATTTAATATTTTCGTGCGTAATTGACACTCGGAGTAGATGAACTTAAGAACTTAACTTTGTTCGAAATAGAACAAATTTTACTTCGAAACAACTTTACTCTCAAAAACTTCAAAAAGATGTCATACCCAAATGTTGAATCCGTTTCTTCTTCAAACAATCGACTTATCACCGAGGAGCTATATTACGACATTCCCGTTATAAAGAATGACTATGATCGTATGTTTCTTGCATTAACCAATGAGCAACGTAACATTTTCCTAAACATCATGAGTGCTATTCAAGATAATAAAGGAGGTGTCTTCTTTGTTTACGGTTATGGTGTAACGGGTAAAAAATTTTTATGGAAGACAATATCTGCAGCAATTAGATCTGATGGTAATATTGTCTTAAATGTTGCTTCAAGCGGTATTGCTTCCTTATTATTGCCCGGTGGTAGAACAGCACACTCTCGATTTATAATTCCATTTGAACTTACAGAGGATTCTTTTGTAAAATAAATTCAGATGGTGAGTTGGCTAGCTTAATAAGAAAAACTTCTTTAATAATTTGGGATGAAGCACCTATGGTCCATAAGCATGCATTTGAAGCTTTAGATCGAACTTTGAAGGATTTATTAAGGTGCGGAAATTCAACCATCTCAAATATTCCATTTGGAGGCAAAGTTATTGTCTTTGGAGGAGATTTTAGACAGATTCTACCTGTTGTTCCGGGTGGCAGTAGACAGAACATTGTAAATGCTTCTTTGAGTTCTTCATATTTATGGCAACATTGCAAAGTCCATAGATTAACAAAAAACATGAGGCTAACTGTTGGAAGGGATCAATCGGATATAAGAAAAATAAGATATTTTGCAAATTGGCTATTGGATATAGGAGAAGGCAAACTTGGTGGTCCGAATGACGGTGAAACGATTATCGATATTCCTGATGATATTCTCATTAATGATTCACATGATCCTATAGGTTCCTTAATTGATTTTGTATATCCTTCAATTTTGGAGAACTATAGCAACACAAATTATTTCGAAGAAAGAGCGATACTTGCTCCAAAAAATGAAGTTGTTCAGGAAATAAACGACCGTTTGCTTAACAAGTTTCCAGGAGATGAAGTTGAATATTTACGTTCAGACAGCATATGTGAATCCGAATTTGTCCATGATCAGTTTGATGCAAATTTATACTCCCCTGATGTATTAAATGGTCTCAAAGTATCCGGTTTACCAAATCATAAGTTAGTTTTAAAAATTGGTGTTCCAGTAATGTTACTGAGAAATATTGATCAGAAAAACGGCTTATGTAATGGCACAAGACTACAGGTGTTATCATTGGGCAAACGTGTTATTGAGGCACGTATAATAACTGGAACTAATATTGGAAACCGGACTTTTATTCCAAGAATGTCTTTAACTCCATCAGAAAAAAAGATTCCCTTCAAATTCACAAGAAGACAGTTTCCTTTGGCCATATGTTTTGCAATGACTATTAATAAAAATCAAGGACAATCGTTATCAAATGTTGGTTTGTTTCTCAAATATCCATTTTTTTCACATGGACAATTGTATGTTGCATTATCTAGAGTTCAAAGCAGAGAATGATTAAAATTATTAGTTTTAGATAAAGATGGCAAAGTCACAAATAAAACTTCCAATGTTGTTTATAAGGAAGTTTTTCAAAATTTGTAGCCAACTTTTTTGTAGCATATTTTATTCATTTTTAGCAAATCACACTTAATCCATCATATTACTTTATTTATTTATAATTACGTATTTTTCACACCCCAAAACCGGAACGGCGGAAACGTTCGGGGGTGGAGGACGTCATGTTTAGTATCACAAGACATGCATCATAGTAATCAAAGTAATGAACAACCATTTCATTAGAAAGAAAGTGTTTACAATGTGTGTGTTCACAAAACATAGAATACATAAGCAAATAACAAAACATGGCTTGAAGCCATTATCCTCCATCTTCTAAATTCCCAGCGCGAGTACCTGTCTACTAGGCTCCTGAGAATACAAGTTATTTGAAAGAGTTGATCAGCAATTAAGCTGGTGAGTTCATAAGATTTTAGTGATGTAAGTAAGTTGTAGAAAGTTGTTGTAAAATGTTGTAAGTTATAAGTTCTGTTTAGAAAAGTTCGTCTGTTCCTCTTAGAAAATCCTATATTTCCTACTTTGATGAAAGATACTTAAAAATGATTCTACAATCCATTCTATGAGTACTAAATGAATACAAGTTGTATAAAACTCAGAGTAAACAAACAATCAACTGTGCGCATCTGCCCTAAGCCCACAACCAAACAAGGAACAGGAAGTAAGGCGGATATCACGCATCCCATTGTTTGTTAGATCATTGTTGTATATAACCCTGGTGTATTCACTTGTTACTGATGGAGTTAATTGTAATGGTTCCTTTATATTTGATGAAAAGATTCTTTTAAGAAAATCCTTATTTCTTATAATAAAATGGTGACCACAAGGATTACTTCTATAATTACTTAGTTTATACTGGCTATATATGATCTAATATCGAATAGATAGTTAATTGGGTGAATCTGCCCTAAGCCCACAACCAAACAAGGAACAGGAAGTAAGGCGGAAAGCACACATCCAACTACCTATTGGGTATTAATGATATATCACCATGACGTATAAGTTCAGGTATTACAGAGTTAATCACCTAAGGTCCTTTAAGTTTATACTGGTTTAATAACATGGATTAAACCCTTAACTGATAAGTTTCTAGTTTTGTATACCAAAAGTTCTGATTTGGAAAGTATGTTTTGTACTAGAAAACTGTGCATTGACTTTGTGTCATACGACCTGACCCATACCTGGTACCCTTATGATGACTTAATGTATAATGAACATATATATATATATATATATATATATATATATATATATATATATATATCTAGAATCGTATAGATAATAGACTGGGTGAATCCGTTCCAAGCCCACAACCAAACAAGGAACAGGAAATGAAGCGGAGAGCACACATCCTATTACCTGTCGGATCCTATTGATATATATATATATATATATATATATATATATATATATATATATATATATATATATATATATATACATCCTTTGTTGTATATATTAAGGAATCATAAGGTTAGCATTATGGTCCTTTCTACTAAACGTAACCTTCTACCAAGGCAGCAAATGTTATGTATGTTTGTTTCTTGCATGAGTGTGTATTTTCCCAAGTGAGACTATCATTAACCAAAAATATAGTTTTTACATTACCGATTATGTGAGAATATCACAATGTGAATGCAATGGGGAAATAATAATAGTACTGTAGTGTTGTATTATAATAACTACTGCTGTACTACTTACCTTAAACCAATTGTTATTTAAGGTATAATGTGATATGATTGCACCATACTATCGACTAATAACACGACAATGAAAGACGTCGGAAGAAATGACATTTGGCACCCGTAGACTTGCAAGTCCCACTGTAGCGAACAACAAGGTGTAAGATAGTCAATCCAGTATAGATCTATACACAAATTCTCGCTCTCCCTCCAGGAGACTCTAGCTACAAATCGAGCCATGACAGGTGATGCCATGCCTCGAAACAGTGGTTCACATTCATGTTATAGTTTACTTGTATATGTATTGTATGTACTAGATGTATTGTATGTTCTCTCTGTCTAGTGTGTAGTATGTTCTCTTAGTTTCTCATCATAGTATGTTCTCTATCTGTTTCTCGTTATAGTATGTATTGACTCATATATGAACTGACTCTTTGTATGTTTCATTGTACTAGAACTAGTGAATAGTAACTTCCTAAACTATACCTATTATAGTTTACTAATGTTTTACTTGAACTGTTATTGAAAAGACTCATTTATCTACTAAGTTATGGTTGTACTTTAAAAACGGAGTTTTGTTAAACTATGAAGTAACATAACTTAAAAAGATTTTTTGAAATGTTTTGATCACTTATAAAAGACATAAGCAATATTTTGAAAGATGTCTATAACAAACATTTACACAATTATCATTGTGTTCAACTTGTATTCCCCCCCCCCCCCCCCTTAAAAGTATTTAAAACAGTTTAAAAGATCGATTGCGGGGTATGAACTCACCTGATGTGGGTGATTCAAACGAATATGCGTGTAAGGATGAGAAGTTCCACGAGTGAAGTCCCGAGACACAACAAGTCCTAAATGACATATATTGGCATGAATATAGTGTTTATAAGCAACTATATGAAAGGAAACACCTTCCGGGACTAGGAAACACTTTGACTAAGTGTTGGAATCACATGTGATTCATCTAATGGGTGTTTAAGGCCATGGTTTGGTGTTTACGGCCATGTGTTTATGGCCAAGGGAGTTTACGGCCGTACACTCATGGTCAAAGATGCATATGAGGGTGTTTGAAGGCTAGGGAAGCTTGAGGGACCATTGCTCTACACAAAGATGAGAAAGACCAACTCAGTGGAGAGTGTTGAGGTGTTTACGGCCACACCATAACCCTTATGGCCATAAACACTCTAAAGGGTGTCTTATTGGGTCTTAAAGGTAAGGAGTTTCAAAGGCTTAAATGTCCCAAAGGTTAGCAAAGGCCTAGATGTGTTTAAGGTCCAAGACTTGACCATAATTGGAGTTTACGGCCAAGGGTGTTTACTCTTGGGCCGTAAACTCTCTAAATGATGGGTTTGGTGATGTTTCAAGGTCTTACAAAGCACAAGGGAGTGTTCTAGCCTCAAATCTAAGCCTTAGGAAAAGTTTAGGGCCAAAATGGCATACTTATAGGGGTTTACGGCCAAGGGAGATTGCTTGGCCGTAAACTCCTTTTGTTCTTGCATTCTTGATGTTTTCAAGGCTCTAATCAAGTGTTCTTACTAGATAACAAGTTAAGGAGTGAGTACTTACGATATAGAGGCTTCAAATGGTGATTAAGGTCCAAGAACACTAGTGTGTGTTCTTGGTGTTCTTGGTGTTTCTTGAAGATCTAAGAAAATATGATTTCCATGGATGAAATCTTTAGATGATACTAGATTAAAAGATGTATCAACAAATCAAGGAAGAATACTTACAACTTTTGAAGATCTAGGATGAAAATCGGGATGATAGTTGAGAGAGAAATGAAGTGTTCTTGAGGTGAAAGTGAGATAATGAATGAAAATGAAGGATATGAGTCTTAAAGGGGGAGTTTACGACCCACTTTGAGTTTACGACCGTAAACTCAAATGTTGTGGCCGTGAACTCTAAATGAAGAGGTTAAGGCTTGATTTGTTGAACAGTGTCTCTAGTAGGTACATTCTAACACCCAATCCTTAAGTGTACTAGGCTTAAAACTCCTTAGAATGACCTTTAACCAGGCTAGAACTCATTACCAATGAGTCTGACACTCAGTTGAGTTGATTGACTGAGCTTTCAAAGCAAAAAAAAAAATTCGGGTTGTCACAGTATTGTTTATTTTATGTTAATTTCATTATACACACCGGTAATGCATCATCTGCGTATG